GAGACCATTTTCGCGCGCAACCCACATGACGTCGCCGACTTTGAGGGATTTGATGATGGGGGTCACTCCGGCCTTCTCGAGGTTCGTGGCGATGTAGTCGCGGTCATTGAGGGCGCGGACCTCGCGATTATCGAGGAGGAGGTGGATGGTGAAAGTTCCGGCTGCTAGTACTTCTGGGATGAAGGCGGGGAATATTGGAGAGCCGCTTTGCCGGGATTGAGGGGTGTTGGTGCTAGTTTAGGGTGGGCTTGTTTGTGGAGGGCGGAAGCCTCACGAGTGGTCGGGAGAGAGGATACTTTACAAGGTATCGGACGAGTAGGTGATGGTACGTTGAGCGAAGAACTGCGGGGCGGTGCATCAGGTGAGGATATATTAGGATTCCCGGCAATCACCCCAAGAACCGGAGGTCGTAGTGGCGGTGGTGGTGGTGGGGAATCCGTGAGACCTTCCAGGTCCACAAGCTCTATTTTTGGCTTTTTCTCCTGTTTGAGGGCTGGTCGTGGCTCTATACCGTATTCTGCCGGTCTCCCAGAGTAGAGAGTCTGAGGCCTATCTGTATTCCCAATTACATCTTCCCCGAGTTCGAGAGGTTTCCTGTGTCTCTGCCTACCCTCCTCAACTTTAGCCCGTAATCGAGCTTCCTCCTCAAAGTCTTCTCCGCCTACATGTAGCACACCACCACTCGGTATTTGAGGGACTTCGTTCTCCAGGAGCCTGCCAGCCGCAGCAGCTGCCCCGGAAGGTACCCCCGGCGGGGCACGAGAACTGGATCCCGATGCCTCGCCGTCCCCGCCGCTGCCCTCTGGAACACAAGCAGCCGGCTCTCTCCCCGCCAGCATTGCACGGGCGACCTCCTTGCCCGTCTCCGTTAGCCAAAATCTTTGTGGAACTCCCCTAGTGTACACAAGTTCCTTCTCGATCAACGTCTTCATGGCGCCCCAAGCTGTCCAGAAGCTTGTTGGATGTGGGGGCGCAGTGTATGATGCATCAGCATGAGGTTGAGCCAATTCTTTGAGTTGCTCCTCAGTCAACATGTCATCGCCCGCTTCCCAGAGCGCAATAAGTATGCCGTACGCGCCTGACCGGTAGGTAGGTACGTATTCCTTCTGACGCCTGCGCGGTCTTTTGGGGTTTGGGGCTGGTGACTGAGGGTCGGCACCTTCCTCGACATTGGCGACGGCGACACGCCGTTTACGTGCTACGCCCATACTTTAGCAAGATATGTAGCGATTGTAATAGAGGCGCTGTATGGATTCATACCATTCCTAGCCGGCACTTTGGGCATTGGTTTGTTATTTTGCATGCACCACTCCTCGAGGCGTTGTGTAAGTCTTTCGACTATTCTTGTGCCTATTCCCTTCAAGTCACCAGCTTGGATAGGGTGGAGAAGAGCTGTGGGGCACGCCTTCATTGAAAGATACGCCTGGTTGTAGCTATACATTTTGTTGATAGTTTAGTATTCCAATTGGACCACTTTTATATCAGAGGATCCAGGCGAGAGTACGCACACAGCAGCGGCCTTGGTTCCTTGAGCTCCTTTACACCATTCCTTGAGAAAGGATAGAAGCTCGGGATTTGCACAATCAGCTTCTTCTTCGGTTAGATTATCCATCTTGGCGGTTTATAATGGTGAATTGAATATCCCTAGGAGGTTGGAAATATATGAATTGGTAGGGGGTAGCTCTGGCAGCTATCCTGTTAGCAAGGTTGCTGCACAGTGGGTGGCCCAGGGTGACGTCGGGCTTCGTTTAAGTTTGACGCGCACGGGCGTCTTGGCACGTCGTTCCCGAGGGATCTGGACAGGCGTATTTTGAAGCATCGTTCATGAATTATCACTCGCCTGTGGACGCCTTTCATGTATTTCAGGCTTCCGAACTAGGGGCCATGTGCCAGAAGATGGTCATGGTGGACATTTCTGGTACCTTCAATTATATTCAAAGCTCCCCTTCGCACGGCTAGATCCACCCGAGCAGAAGATAGACTAGCTACATGTACATAGAGCAAGCCTACATATAGAGAACCCTACGAACAAAGATTCTTGTCACCTCTCGATTCAACCTGAGCTGATAAGTACATATATCCAGTGTAAAAATATATACTCATTCAAGATATCATATCTATTCCATGCTAGTTAGCCTTGCACACAATCAGTAAATTATCAATAGATCAATGCTAATTAGCCTTCTAATCTGGCCTGGGTGTCAGAAAGATACTCAAATATGAGATATCACGTTTCCCCATCAAGACAGACGGTTTAAAGCGAATCAGGTGTTTGGTATAGATTTTGGTCCTACGCGAATCTCAACAGAGAAAAGCTCGGGCTCAGTTCATTAAAGTAAACAGGCTTGAATAAGCAGTGTATTGATAATCAGGATAAAAGAAAGAAAATAATGCGAGACCAAAAAAACAGCCGGAGACACTGCAGGACGTACTAGCTACTAGAGACACCGTATCCGTTGTGACATGACCTCTGCCTCACCCGCCCCACTTGTCCTCGTATTACCCACGATCATACTGGTCGACTAGCCTACACCACAACGGAATGGCTCTTGCGCGAAATATTACGTGTCATATCCTTAACACAGCTTAATCCATCAGAAAAGAAAAGAAAAAAGACATAAACAAAGCCGTTAGCCAGCAAAGTCGTCGATAAATCGCACTTTATTACTTTTGGCATGGAATTAATTAAAGCATCTACAAAAGTGTCGGCCAAGTAAAGAGACCACATTTAGGGTGGTATTGTCTCGTCTTGTATTTAAGGCTAGTAGGTTTTGTCTTGTCTCGGGACTTTTAGCAAAGTCCCAAAACATCTCAAAACTTCGTAAAAAAGCCAAATATAAGAAAGATAATAATATTTCTCCAAATTTTCGTGCTAATTGTTATCCTATGGAAGAATTATCTCCTCGAAAAGGTATAATGTCTCTAAAATAGTCTAAAATCTTCTCGAGATAAATCCATAATTATATAATAGCCTCGAGACAATTGTGACACTATTTTGATTATTCTTGTCGTCTCGTTTGGAAAGCTCGAGACTTAGTCTCGAGACCTTAATTCTCGTGCCCATTACTAGACAAGAATGCCTTTACTGAAGATTTGGTCAAGCAATACATTATTTGATATCTTTACCACATTTTGTACCAGAAACATGCGTTCGGGAGTCGGATTTAGGCTGGTATCAGTGTATCAAATAGAGACTGCAGATAACATTTATGGTACTACCATGAAGACACTCACCTCCAAGTCACAGACCATATTTATTTTTCTTTCCTATGGGTCGATGAACATGATCAGCGCCTAGCAACGCGAATATATATTGAATTATATAATTATCTCCTTATCCTCCCGATGAGCGCCTCAGGGTACCCCACGGATCCCGCCACCATATAATGAGGCTCAGAGTTCCACCACAACTCCGATTCTATTACGGCTGTAGGTATAGGCGATGATTGCGTTGATTTCTTGTCTCGAGCTCGTGCATCGAGTGATTGTCCATGATGGAAATTATCTTATCTCTCTCCCACAAACCATGGTAGAAAAATCGTTATGCTTATTGATACCTTTCCAAGATAATATCATTCAAAATGCAAACTCAGTTCATTCGGTATTATTCAAGATTCAAAATCTTTTGAAGCCATAGATTTAATACAATTCCGTGGGAAAATGTTGTATAAATCAAGGGTAGATAGCGGGGTATGGAGTGATTGTTCTACATAGCCGATTGGCTCTGTGAGTTATAATATAAACAAATGCATATACATTGTCATAACCAATGATTTACTTGCTTGATTTGATATTTTCACTCATAATATTACTATTGCGGTAATTTACACCCATAGTAAATTTATTAGCTGTGTAGCTGTGCTAGCACCCAATTACAACGCAGATGAAGGGAATAGGGTGGCCCCATGCGTCCAGTTTAAAGAGCTTCCAGTCGCGTTATTGTCATTATAGAGGATTTTCTCTATTGTCTTGCTAGCGTTTGATTTTGGATATTATATATATCCTTTATTGCGGTCTCAGTAACTAATCTAGGCTTAATGCCCTTCCTGTTATTCTTTCCCAAAAAGTGAGAAGATTAAAAGCTCCTATCATACACAACACCAAATAGGTTCTGGAGTATGCTCCTGACTTTGTGCGTTGTGATATCCGGATCTCTTGTGCACGTGGAGAGGTCAAGTATCAAAATGACATGTTTTAGTTTGTGGGACGGGTAACTATGGAATAGGGTAGACCAAAGCTGAGCCATGACACGTTCTATGCCGGACCCACGCTCAATTGAGACGACTGCAATTTGAAAGATCTTGATATAATCCATGGAATCTATAGCTGATATGTAGCCTGTCAGCCATGCTGTGGGCAACGTGAACTTCTGCGTGCATCTTCGTTTTCGAACCCAGAAACCGGCCCTATCCCGGGTTTTGACAGGGGTTATTAATAAATGAAACGGGTCCTAAAACGCGACATGAGGCTCTGCGGAGCGATGTGACACGCCGCAGTTCGTGTTACGCCGGTTTTGAAACTGGCGGATTGTTTGAATTCTGCGTGTGAGACATACCCATTCGTGGGATCTTAGCGATCTGCATGCCAAAGCTGAATGCTGTCATTGGATGGGCCCATCTCCTTGGAATTCCTCATAAGATGGGCAGTTCGTTGTCAGGCAGACAGACGTCGCGATCGTTGGTCTTTTAGTTGTCGCGGTGATCTCTTCTCCGCTCTCCCAGGTGCATACCCTACCACTCTAGGTACCGGCACTACAGTAGGCGAGGGGGTTACGTGTGTGCTGCTTCGGCCCGGTGGTTAATGAGATTAATGAGGCTGGTGTTGGTTGCTCGGACAAGGATTGAGCATTAGGAGCCCTAAAGTGACGTACGCTTCAGTCGGTAGCAGAGATCGCTCTTTTCCTTTCGTCTTTCTACTTATCGATTTATCAAAACAGCTCATCAAGGGGGAGGGCATACAAACAACGACTCACCCGAAGAACAACTGTGGAGGATTTCAGAATGATGAGAATACGAGGACCTACGTCCTACAAGGCCCGCATTATTGCTCTGGCTTCTATCGCAATTGTGTATGTCCTTTACGTCACGTTTCCAGGTCTTGGAAGCACGAGCTTCAATGGCACCCCATCTGGACAAAATGGCTTCTCTTGGTTCGGGAGTGGCAAACCAAAATGGCCGCGGAACACGGTTCAATACCCATTCAAGGAGAATGGGATTGTCGCTGAGAATAAGGAGAAGGCAGAAAAAGTAAAAAGGGCCATGCAAAGGACCTTTTGGAAATATAAAGTGGGGGCTTGGGGCCGAGATGAGATCAAACCGGTGTCAGGGGATGGTCGTACAACGAGGTGATATTCATCTGAATTATTTTCTGGTTTGAGCCGTGTTGATGAATTATATGTCTAGGAATGGATGGGCTGCTACAATTGTAGATACATTAACGACAACGGCTTTGATGGGCTTGGAGGAAGAGTTTAAGCTTGTAATATTCCCCACCAATCAGACAAAGACATGGAATTTGGAAACTGACTAAAAATAGGAACTGAACTTCACCATCAAAGGAATCGATTTCAATGACGCTTTGGGTCTAGTCGATCCATTTGAGACAACCATCCGGTGAGGTTACGCCAAGTTAATATAATGCTTCAAACTCCGGACTCATTAATGACCGTTTATTAGTTATCTTGGTGCGCTTGTATCGACTGTCGATCTTATTGATGCTGGTATACTTTCTAAAGGCCTCGTCTCTCAATACGACCGGCACGATGTGCTATCACAAGCTGTATCCTTGGCCACTAAGCTTGCCCCCGGATTTGATTCTCCCACGGGGATGATATGGCCTAGAATTAACTTCACTACGAACCAAGGTTGCAGAGAACATTTAGATCAAAGACCAATTCCTGGGTTTGCCCATGCAACTATCGGGCCCGCCCGAGCTGGAAGCAATTGGCTAGAGAATAAAGTTCTTAGCAAGTTGACTGGAAAGGTAGAGTATGAGTTGAATGCTACTCGAGCATGGAAGTATGTCCACCTCTCTCTTTAGCTTGTGGTTAAATTTAATTTCATTAATGTTTTGAGTGTAGGCCTTTGGTATGGAATAGGTAATTAAGGACTCGGCCCACTTTTGTGATTTCTTTTTTAACTCATTTCCAATTAGATATATTGAAGAATGGCCGGGCTTGATAGAGTAAGTCAATGTTCGAACGTGAAAATTAAAGTTTTCTAACGCGCGGCTCAAAGCTCACCTATTGATATCGTCACCGGTGCCCCTGTGGACCGTCACAGAAGTTGGGGAGCGGGACATGATTCGTATGTGATCACCTCAATTCAACGGTTTTTGCGGGTTCAAGCAGCTAATACGTGATTACAACAGCTATTATGAGGTTAGTACTTTCAATTGATGGGATTTTAACGTTTATTAATCTTCAAAAGTACCTTATCAAAGCCCATATACTAGCTCCACATGATCCAAATACATCAAAGTACAGAGACCGATGGATACAGGCTGTTGAGTCAACTATGAAAAACCTCGTGTCGTGGTCGGCCCCAGCAGAGGGTAAAAAGAGCAAACTATTTCTTTCCCAGTGGAAGAATGGGTGGCTCTTGAACGAAATGGGACATCTTGCATGTTTTGCAGGCGGGAACTTCTTACTAGGGGGTAAATATCTGGGCAGAGAGGATATAGTCCAATTTGGTCTTGATGTTATCGATGCGTGCCACGAAACATATGTCGGCAGTACCACTCGAATTGGCCCGGAGTACTTCTCGTGGATACCCGCAGATACAGCTCCAAATGCGACTTATGAACCGCAACACGCAACTCAATATAAGCAACTAAAGAGCTTGGGATACTGGGTCACAGATGCCAAATGGGTGCTTCGTCCAGAAACGGTGGAGTCTTACTTTTACGCCTATCGAATCACAGGCAATAGGATGTACCAAGAATGGGCATGGGATGCGTTCAAGTACGTCTTTTGCCTTTCATAAGAGTTCTTTTTTTAATTCTTTTTTCTTCTTTTTTTTTCCATTAATTATGCATCGAAGCTTCTTTATCTCTCAATTGTGCAGATCTTTGATTGTGCTAACCCCTTCTTTCAAGCGCATTTACCAAGGCTGCGGAAGTAGAATTTGGATATGCGGAAGTCAAAGATGTTACTAAACCCGCGGGTCCAGACAATATCATTGATAAGGCGGAGAGTTTCTGGGGAGGTGAGTTATCTCCACCCTTGGCTCAGTTATGACCCTTAATGGACAGCACAAGCTACGAACTCTTGTCTGCCGAAAATCATTATGCATGGCGATCCGCTCTGCTGCATTCCGCCGTTGGCTTCGTATGCACATGACCGTTTATGCTGACTATCTGTCCCCCTGATGCTGGGGTTGTTCATGTTTGCAGCCGAGACATTGAAGTACTACCCCTCACTGTTTTCCGCTCCGGCCTACTTCAGCCGCAGAAAAAGACTAACCCTATTGATGTCACATTAGATACCTTTACTTGACCTTTACCAGTGAGGATATAGGAAGCTTAGATGAGTGGGTCTTCAGCACAGGTATGCATTCACAGGCTTTTCTTCCGATATGGTGGTATTGTTTTGGAATTTGGCGTTTGTTTTTGCTTTTGTCGGCCTGCCTCAAATATATTTCAGTGTTATTTGCTTCTTCGGCACATCCCTTCTGGTGTCGTCATGGGGCTTTCGCACATGGTTAATTCCGTCCCGCTTTACCTTGTTCCTTACCTTATCTGCTCGTATCTTTAACTAAGAGTTCTCTGCTCTATTTGCCTAGTATTGGACATATCTTTGCGATTAGATACTAATGACAGTTTATAATTCAGAAGCACATCCATTCAAGGTAATTCGGTGATCTGTCACGTACGAATTTGTGTTCTGGAGCGCACATGACTTGGTACGTAGAGGGCCATATAAACCTTATTAATATATTGTGATTCACAGCTAATATGTTCGCACGTATCAGATACGAGGTAGTAGCATCTTGGTAGTTGCTCTTCCATCATGTTCGCTGCATCTGCTCTAGGTAGCATACCCTACTCGCCAGGCGGACTAGTTTACTACTGCACCGTTCTGCAGGGTTTTATATTGTTATTGTTTTGTTTTTTTTTTGTTTATTTATTATTGGATTTGCACTCTCACCTAGATTAGCGCATGTATCTATCTGTACCTTTCCGCGAATCGTTTCTTTCTTCCGTTATTTTTTTTCTTGTCCACATCACGTGAATCAACATTGTCAACACCTTAATAGACCCATGTTTCCCTTCTTGGTTTCTATTCCCATTCGCTCTGGTTCTTATTTTTCTTTCTTTTCTTATTCTCGATGCAGCAGCGATAGAAGGAATTGGGTAAGAAATAAATATAAAACTAAAAGGGCTGGTCCACCAAAATAGACATGATGTAAACAAGAAGAGGTAAGACTCTAAGTTTACCCACCATACCCTAATGGCCAGAAGTACCTACCCTATCTCTTTCCACGAATACCATCACCACTCTAATTAACGAACCAGTAAGAACCACCATCTAGCGAGCTCAGATGATGATGAGTACAAGACCCTCCCATCTCAAGCCTCGATCCTCTTGTTCGATCCAGCTCCTCGTACGTAAACGCTACTAGGCCCAAGCAAGCTAGATATGTAGTGTAAACATGAACATGTAGGTACTATGTACCTACTCGACATGACATGACATGTCCAACTGCACGGTCTCTGCTCTACCAGCCAGTGAACATCTCTTTACCAGCCTGTCGGGATCTCCAGCCAAACATCACCACAGATCTGGCCCGCCCAGCTCCCGCGATCAGAATCCGTTGCGCCCTGCACTGCCCATTCGGCGTTAATTTTTTCCGCTGGGTTCTGCTGTGATAGGGCGGTTAGAAGGTACCCCATGACTCACCAGCTAGCTACCGCAGTACTCTAGCTAGCTACATACATGCCCTCAGGTTGGCTCTTGGCTGGAGTGCGCCTTGTGTGAGACTTGGCGGGTGCTTTGTTGCATTGAACGTTGTATGTAATCTACGCATCATGGAGTATCACTCATAGCGGGGCGGAACGGACGGGGGGAGGGTTGGGTTATGTTATGCACTCTGTATTAGTTATTACCATGCGTTGCATAAGCCTTACCCTTGCCTAGATACAGTCTCTGGCTCTGTAGCGGCATAAACTAACCCAACCCAACCTAACCTCCGGTCAGATTGTTTACTCTACCTACCTACTTTTCTATGCCAGCTACGGGGGTTAATTTGCTGTCTTGCATTGATATGATTTAAGGTAAACACTCGACCTTGTAATATATTATTGGATCGTCATCGACATGATCTACAAGGGTCGGATGTACCTGGAATATAACATATGCAAGTCAGGATTTCTCCGGGTTCTTTGTGGAGAGAGAGGGTAAGAACGGTTGGATCTACATGATATATTATGGGAGCCGCGCGGTGCCCAGATGCAGGGTATTATTTATGCAGTGCATAATCATAACGATTTTCCTTTCTTTTCTTAGTTCTTGTGATGTGTGAGGGAAGTTTCTCGAAAAGGATTGATGTGTGTACAGCTTACCCTCAAAAGAACCAGAAAATGCAAGTAACGGAAACAGGGATTATTTGTATGAGAGAACGACGCCACTCCATACAAATTATCCTTGCCCTGAGCAACTGGTTCTTACGCTGGTAAGCGTGTATGTAATGTAGGTGCAAGGCTGGGCTATGGGAGGCTGACGAGGGCTTGGGGGTTGATTGGAGAACTACTTTGCGTTGGATGTTTCTATTATTTACATTGCAGATGCTGTTTACAGATATCTCTGTGTCCTATCATGGGGAGCGAGGTGGTGGGGATTGTCTTCACGTATGTACTTCGCGGGCTATACTCGGACGACAAACAAGTGTTAACATCCAGGGTTTTTACGAGACTCATAACTCGCTCTTCTCACCACATCCCCCCTCCCCCCCCCCCCCCCCCTTTCTGCGCCCTAACACTCACATTCCCCCGACCCACTCCATGACGCGTCTTGAATCAGAATTACCGTAACTTAATTCCTCTCTCATTCATCGCCTGGGCAATGCGACGCTGAAAGGCATTCGGCAGTTTCCTGATCCACAGCGCATACATAATAACACCAGCAATAGCGCCGCCTAGTTATACCATCCCCCCCATCATTACGTCAGTTGATCCAATCCTTATCAATCCGGAAGTTAGGACTGGTGGAATATTTTACCTATATGACCTGAATGACCAATCGGGATCCCGTAATCATAAAACATTCCGCCGATGTCGAACGCCATAAAGGCGCCCAAGGCCGCTCTAATCGGGATACCGATAGGAATGAACATCAGGTTCAATTCCATTGCCGGCCATACGATTGCGCAGATGGTGCCTGGGGAGACGTGAGGCGAAATAATGCATGAGAATTAATATTCCATGCCAATATCATTTCTAGCTTTCCAGAATTTACGCTTTCCTACGTACCCATTGCCATCAGAGAAGTGCTGCTACCCATTGCGAATGATATTGCCCGTCGCAACTGGCTTTCCTCGTCCTTCGTGAGCCCGGATTTAACCTTATTTAATATCTTTTCTTGCGGCATCGCCAAGAATGGGTTCACAGATTTTTCAAAGAGGGCCACAAATGCCTGTGCCATGATCCCGCCTGCCACAAATATCGTTCCTGTCACACGGTTTCCGTATAGATGAACCAGCACTGGGGCGAACGCCCTGAGACTGGTATAGCACACAAATAGATGTAGAAGTCCCACGTGATTGAATTGCGCAGTCAACGGTGTCCACCACCTGAACGATTCACCTTCACCCGCAGCATTACGTGCGCAGAAGCTGAAGTTCAGCTTCATCGTTTGCGACAGATCCAGCCAGAAAACCTTCTCTGGTTTGTACCGTCGAATGTACTCATCGTAGTACTTCGGTGCCGGTTTCACTGTAGGATCCAATCCCAGCGCCTCGCAAACCTCCTCTCGTGTCACAGTCATTCTCACGAAATCGCCAGACACAGAGAGAAGTAAGATCGGCACTGTGATCGCTAGGAAGATCTTTACTAGGCCACTGCCAGGTTCCTTTCCCTTTGGTTCATTTGGTGGGGGATCATCTGGCGGATCGTGGTACTCTGGCGCTGATTCAGGCTCTGGCGGAGGTGGTGGTGGGGGTTCTTTTTGCGTGGTGCGAAATCTTGCCCGGGAACTTTCCAGAGCTGTAGATGAGAAAAAACATTTTAGTTGCTTGTTTGGCTGTGAGTAAGGTCCAAAGGGAACTATTTTGTTAATGCTGGATGGAAAAACCAACACCCCCCGCGAAAGTGTTGAGGGTGCCGGTTTGCGCAATGTGAATGATATTGATCGAGATAGGGCTTTGATGCCATTGAACTGGCACTTAAACATCGTGGTGTGAATAATTGAGAGATCCTGTGAGATTATACACACCTCATTGGCCGAGAAGCTCCAGTTAGAAACAGATTGGTGGTGGATGGTGCACCGTGGATGCCTAGCTAAAATTGAAAATTGATGTGGTTCCGAAAGATACGGTTGATATGACTAAGCAGTCGAGCCCTACAGATGCATCCCAACTCTCATGAACTACTCTAGAACTGCAGCGTTTTATCAATGACCTGAATTACAGCGAGTATAAAAGTAAAATGCTTACTTTTATAATTTACGGGACTTACATGTATATCCTTGAAGGACTTAAGAAAAGATGAGACTTTAGATTTTATGAGTTGAGCACCAGAGAGCAGCTCATTAACGTCATGCTGCATTTCAAAAACCTGATGAGCTTTGATCTGACCACTGGCGATTCGATACCGTTATATACCTTCTTCAGTATTCAGTTATTTCCAATCCTTGGCGCCAAGTTATTGGCTAGGCACGGTACGCTCGCTACCTATAAGTCCAGACCGAAAATCGAGGTTGTAAGAGCCGATAATCTTGATAGAGTGAAGATCATCTTCATTTGGATGATTCTGCTGTCGTCTTGATTCCTACTACTTCGTATATCCTCCAATCACACGACACACCGCTTTGGCGACCCACTGCAGCCGTCCGAGTGAGGGAGGATGACTGATGCCCATTGTAACTAGAAGAGTGATAACCCCGCGCCCGGATTCGATTTCTTGTTTAGTATAATCACCTTCCCCTAGTCTTCTTCTTCCATCGTATGTTATTTGTACAATGGTAGTATACATGCATATGGCGAGGAGTACTAGTACTGAACACTGAGTGATTCTTGGTGACTCAAGCTTCCGTAGATATCTCTCGTTCCCTTCGGATCCCTTTGCTGCTACTAACCGATTCATAGCAAACCCTTTTAATTTTCAGTTTGTAGAATACATATTACAGAACATGTGCGAATTGAAGTACTGAATTTAAAAAAGAAAACGTGGTTGTGTTGAGAAGCAGCGAGCTACATGTAGCTATGTATTCATTTCATCAATCGTATGGGTCCGCGGCGTGTTTGAGAGAGCAAAGGCAAATAGAAAAAACCTGCGTAACAGACAAACAACGCAGCTTTATACCTCCCACTAGTGACTTCTATCGTATCCTATTTATATCTGGTTGTCTAATGACAAGCATAAACCTACAATGTTTCAACAGCCAATTATACTCTTCCGTTTGTGTTTTCTGTCTGGACGTTGATAACTCTAGCGCTTGTACCACGTGACACTATCTTGGCGTCCCTGTAGCCCCACTATTATGACGATCATCCACTAGCAACGGTGAGCTTAAAGGGACCTTTGTACCACTATCAAAAACATCTTTGGGATGAACGTTATCAAATTCCGACAACTTATTAACTAAGGCTTATAGTTTGGACATGATACGGCAGAAGTCGGCTTTTAGGTGCCGCAAGGTCTAGTTGGGCCCATCTACTACAACTGCCATAATCGGAGTTACTTCCAAGAGGTAAGGGTGATTCAATTCCTGAAATATTATCGCGCTAATGACTTCATTATCAGATATCTGTCCAGGGGTATACTTTCATCGTCAAAAGCTAGCTAGCTAGCTGAAAAGATACAGCTAATATGGGTTGCGATTCCGGCGGAAGCTCGCAACACAGAAGTGCTGATATATCGGCATTCTAACGGAAACAATGGCTGAGAGTCTACTAGGGTAGAGAGGATACATTCAGCGACGGTCCGAGCTACCAGAATTTCCGAAATACGGGAAAATGAGAACACCGGCATCCCATTCCGCATATTCACATATTCAGCAGAAAACCAAATATGGTCATGGTCATCGACGCGGTTGCTAATAGTCGTGGTTAAAGCTATCGTGCGTCATTTGACTGTGAGAGCTAGTTATAATTCGCACACACATACATGTACACATGAGTTCGCACAGAAGTTCGCACGCATAGTCTGAACCCTTACGCGACAACTCTTTCGTACTAGTAGATACATGTACATGTGGGCATGTATCTGTCTCTAGCTCTGCCCTCTTTGCATTTGACGATCAATTGCGCAAGGCGGATAAATTAGATTGAAACCATTTTCCAGCCTAGAGCCAGAGACAAAACATGTTACATACTGTGGTTCACCTATCAGGTCAGTGCATACCTCGGTCCTTCATAATGTAATGTACATCAAATAGCACACTCATGACAGACGCCACCAGGCGAACTAACCTTATCTAAATTTACCAGGTTTAGTATCATGGTCGAACTCGCTAAGAAAATAAAGGATATTCTTCTTGTTACACAGAGGAAAAGCATTCGCTTGATTACCCCCGATTCAGACAAACAGATCCTAACGCATTGCATGCTTGAATATCTCCTCAATCGTAACGATCGAATCCCGAATGCACAGGGTTGGTTCTTTATATAATGAGAAGTACCGGTTCGGTATTTGTTTATGGCTTCCTTGATGGACTAACAGAGATGGCGGATACATACGTCGCATGAAGGGATTCTAGACTACGACAATAGCAAAAACTCACAAAACGTGGTGTACTCGCGGCGTTTCACGAGATGGTTTATCGTGCAAATAAGTGGAGTACCTACTCTAAGGTGGTGCATGGCTACATACATGTACTTGACGTGCGGTACCTCTGTGTGCTAACCCGTCGTGCATCTGAAGGCGCAATAACATGAGGGGGGGAAAGTAAAGTGACATTCTCACTAACGACACACTCTACAAGCAGAATACTAATACACATGCATTACATGTATTTTTTGGAGGAGTTCCTTCCAGTTCGGGGAAACGGAGGCCAGTATCGTGGATGGATTTGAGTTTTCCTCGATCTTTCATCGAGGGCCTTATTTACCTACTTGATCCCATGATTTCGTTTTCAGTCCATATCCTACATGCACTGCATAAAATACTCGCTATCTGGCTGCTCCCCTGTCGGTCGCCCCGAGCATCGCCCCCTTCTCGTCCAGGATGGGCCCGAAAAAACTGCTTTTGTCTGGAGGACAATCTGTAAGAAGAATCAAGTACAACTAATATATTAGAGCGGGAACCAAAACTGGCAGAGTACATTCGCCGTTCTGTACAAAGACTGCCAAAAGAGTCTACCTAGGGCTGCAGCTGGAATCATAACCCCGTCAGGGCATGGGGGCCCTTCTTGTTGATAACTTACCCGCACCCGCAACCACATACATAATCTGCGCTCCGGACCCACCTATGGGGCTGCTGGTGCGGGGAAAAAGGGGGTGGGCAGTGAAAAAGACCTAGGAATATGAGGTGTTACGATTCCGCCTCTGGGCATACATACGGCTTTCTTCAAACTCGAATTGTTTTTTTGAGGCTCGTGACATCTGCGTATTCACATCATATTTCAATATACACCTAGCTCACTTTACCCGGTACGCTGGTACGGGTCCAAGAGGACATACTGGCGAATGCCAGGGCAAAAAAATAAAAAGCACGCGGTCTATTTTCTGACTCTTGCATCGTTATTTACTTCTCGATTTTGTCGCGCGTGCCCTCGAAACCTCATCCCCGCCTCACCCTTCGCTCGCCGAAACGCATAGCGGCCGAGACGGGCGTTACAGGGATCAGCGATGGGTCTCGGGAGGCCGGTGTGTCCCGCCCAGTCAAGAGTTGAAGACCCCTTTCGCTGGATCGCTGCTGAAGATGCTTAGATAGAGTACTTCTACATGTACTCTATATTTGTGCAAAGTAATAGTTCTTTAGGGATCGGCGGGGGGAAAAGCATGGTCCGACCTTGCGATTCGTCCATGTCTATGTATGTACTCAGACTGATTTTTTTTTTTTTCCCTTTTCCCTTTTTCTTTTTCTGTTTTTATGTACCTTAGGGGAGAAATGTGGAACCGTGGGTGTTATCCCCAGTCCAGATTGGCCAATGAAGGTGCCCTGAATACAACGGTGGCGGGGTCTTTGACCAGTTGAGAAGCTGGACTCTTGACATCCGCCTGGGCGGTTCCTAGGTTGTTAGAGTACGGTACCTGGAGATGGCGGTCCCTTTAAGGCTTTGGAGCCAATTGGAGCATCGTGCATATGGGGGGGGGGGTCTCCCTTCACCTGTCTCACTCGATATGATATCTAAAACTGCGCGAATTTCTTTTGTATTTTCTGATTATTCTTCTAAAAAACGATTTTTGTTTTGTTTTATCTCTCCCCGCCGCCTTCTTTCTTTCCGGTTCAGCTTTCATTTGCTCTTCTTCGGTATCGGAACCCGCTCATATTTTTCTGTTGATGCTGTTGGTTGTTAGTGTTAGTATTTCTCTGGGCAGTTCATCGGTAGTTGGAACTTGAACTATCAGCAGCAGGTCTCACCATACATGAAGTCACTAATCAGGGTTCAAAAGGTACTTGGAAACAAGTGGCATTAATTCTTACTAGTTAGTGAGTGATGAGCTCTAAACAAGACAAGGTATATAGCTACTTTTATGTACCATTCATAAACAATTGCAAGGGAAAGGGAAGGGCACGTTTTATCCGCGAAATAATTCCGACATCCGAGTCACAGTTAATTACGCACAGCGCGCAAGGCTTAGGCCTTCCCGAGGCTAGGGGAGGATGGGACATGTAGGGCCAGTGATCGGAGCCTTTTCTGCAACCACCTGAAACCCCGTCCATACCTCTAGCCTGCAACCAGAAATCCACTATCGCCCACTAGCTCGAGCACATCACATGTAGAGCGACAAGCTTTCATGATGGAAATCTTGCTTATGCACACGATTGAGATGATCGTGATTGTGATTAGTACTGGTACATATACATATTCGCATTTCAAAACACGCAGAAGGAATTAATTTGGAGAAAGCTGGAATTTTTTGTTATGTCCTCCCGTAGCGCCATACCGGTTGCTAAATCAACTACCAAACATCCAAGACAAAATAAAAATTTTGAAAGGGGGAAGTAGAAGAGAAAATCCCATGTTGATTACCACCATTGAACTATAGTAAAAAATAGAAAATAACAAATAAAATAAAAAAACAGCCGTAGTAGAGGGTCATAGTAGTAGTAGTAAGTAGTAGTAAGTAGAGGAGAGAGAGAGAGAGTAAAAAAGAGACATTACTAAAATGAAATAAAAGAAAACAAAACCATATGGTATCGCTCTCGTTCGCCATCCCGTTGTTCCCCATACCATCCCACAGCTCGAAGATCGAAAATGCAAACGCCCAAGCATCAATTCCCTAAGCAAAAAAAAAGAAAAAAAGAAAAAAGTTGAGGGTAAAGAAGAAAAAGAAAGAAAAAATCCCTAGTTAAGAAGACTTCCCCCTACCTATTGTTATGGAGAGGTAGGAAAGGAAGAAAAGAAGAAAAAGAGAACCAGACCCGCTACCCCAGTTTGAAAGAAAGAAAGAAAAAAGATCCTGTGCCTGTGCCTTCTTAAACGACACTGCTTACTCCTTGAACCAAAAAAAAAAAAAAAAAAAAAAAAAAAATAAGGAAAATAAACCCCCCCCCCTGATGTGCCAAAACCAACTAGAGATTGCATGGGTGTTTTATTTTGCTTTTTTGCCCCCCCCCCTTCTCTCCGGCCCTGTCCCCTTTCTCATTTGTGAAGGGAAAGAAAAGAAACCCGGCGCCCGCCCAGCCCAGCCATGCCGCCCGACAAGTACAAGAACTCGTACAGGCGATGATGATCGTCCCTTTCCCCGCGC